ACATTTTTTTACATTCATAAATGAGGCAAAATGTTTTAAAAATGAGAAAATAATTTAGGTATTAAACTTTTTTAGGTTACATAACTAAGGTAGTGGTGCAAGTAGATTCACATCTTATTCTGTTGAATTTAAATTGCTGAAGTCTTGGTAAAGTACTTGGCACAGCAAAAGATGGAGAGATTACTTCATCTGGGCAGTAACTAAAAAGGTTTCATAAAATAAGTTACATTGGTGTCATCCTTTCAATAAAGAGTAGTATTTGATTGATGAGGTGGATGAAATTCCAGGTAGAGGGAATATAATGAACCATTAACCATACAATGTTAGGAATATATTTGAGAAATGATGTGAACTCCAGTCACTTGTAGGTGAGATAGAGTGAAATAAAATTCGTGCAGAAACATGGTAGAAATTCTATTGAATTAATCTGTTCTTTTAATTTGCTGCAAGATGGGAAGCCATTGAAAATTTTGAGCAATCAATGACCTGGGGATAAGAAGATTACTTTATATTTTTGCAGAGAGGTTGCTGGAAATTTTGTTTTTCCTGATACTAATTAAAAAGGTGTTAGCAAAAAAATAATTGAAGTAATTGGAGACAAGTTCCCATTGAGGATTAGCTGAAGCTGTGTAGAAGATTTCTCATAAAAGGAAAATACCTTTAAGGCACTGAGACAATCTCTTGCAGAGAAGTCACAGGAATGCATGTCTGAAGTCTCTGAGAGGGACCTCAGATGCATATCCTTGGATCTAAAAATTGGTATAGTTCACATAATTAGATTGCCTAATTAAGTAGCCATAGTTTTGTGTTTATATAATGGCAGGTTATAATTCCCCATTTAGGATCTGGAACAAGCATATGAACTGGGAACTAGACAATCACACGAAGATGTATCAAATGGGCAAACCATTTGGCTCTGTTAGCTCTATTAGTTCACTATAGTATCCTTGGGCAGTAGATGGAACATGTCTACAGAAGCGCTAATCTGCTATGCCTATTTTAAGAATTCTGTTTCAGTTGCATGTATTTTTTTCCTACTCTCCTTCATACCACTAGAGGTTGCACCAGCAACCAAGAACTATTAGGCAGAAACCATAGAATTTCTGTTTGGTATTTAAGAGTTGTTCGTTAAGCTAACCCTTATTATGGCCATGGCTGTATGGTGTTTTTTTTAATATTTATTAAAAGAGAGAAAGATGAGAGATGAGAGATGAGAGATGTCTTCCATCCGCTGGTTCACTCCCCAATTGGCCGCAATGGCCAGAGCTGCATCTATCTGAAGCCAGAAGCTTCCTCCAGGTCTCCCATGTGAGTGCAGGGGCCCAAGGACTTGAGCCATCTTCCAGTGCCTTCCCAGGCCATAGCAGAGAGCTGGATCTTAAGTGGAGCAGCCAGGTCTCAAACCAGTGCTCATATGGGATGCCAGCTGTGCAGGCAGCAGTTTCACCTGATACACCAGAGGCCGGCCCCTGTATGGTGTTCTTACTTCAAAGTCCAGGCACAGTATTTTTATGGTACTGGGATACACATGTACAAATAATAATAACAAGATGTATACTTTGCAAAAATTACTAATCAAGTGGGGATAGTTTTAGGCAATTTTTTCTTTCTTCTGCTAGAGGAAAGCCATAGATTAATTATGCTCTTACAGCATAATAAAATTGCACTTATTTTCCAGTTAAAAAATACCATTAGATAAGCAACTAACTTCCAGAGTAAAGATCAGAAGAAAAAAGAAGGGAAGAGAGAGATTTCAATCATCCCTATCATACTGCCACATAAAACTTAAGAGGTTAGCATGGCCTGTAAACTACAATGTGAGTGGGTTCCAGAGTTGTGTAGCTCATGACCTGTCCAAACTTACCCAAGGGTTGTACACAGGGAGAATTATACTGTGGACTTTTACTGAAGGAAGGAGTGTATATAAAGCATGTGAGAAATGTCCAAACTTAGCAGATGGAGAGAAAAGGAAGACAAGGCAGCAAGGGAAAGAGGAAGAGGTCAGAGAGGTGCACATTGGTTCACGACGGTATGATGGCCACATCTGTGTTCTTTTGTCTGCATGGTATCCAAAAATTTTGTCATAATGAAAATTTTCAATGTAAAATCAGTCTGTGAGCCTTTCTTTCTAATTTTACGCCTCTCTCTCCCCCCTTCCTCTGTGTCTACCTGCCTCTTTGTTTATGTGTCTCTCATCTATTCTGTGTATGTGCGACACACACACGCACACACACATCCATTATTTGGAATCCTCCCTGTTAGTTTCATGGTCAGATCAAATCAGCTCATTAGAGCTAAATGTTCTTTGATAAAGCACTATTTACCCTCAGAAGTGGTTGCTCCTTCTTAAATTGATGTGTTAACTAACTTCATTCCCTTGCTCACTCTGTAGAGAACACTTTGATTTTAAAGCCTGATCTTCCTCTGAGGAATTACATTTGATCATTAACATTTTCTTAAAGATTTATTTTTATTTATTTGAAAGACAGAGTTACAGAGAGGTAGAGCCAAAGAGAGAGAAAGGTCTTCCATCTGCTGGTTCACTCCCCAAATGTTCACAGTGATCAGAGCTGAACTGACCGAAGGCAGGAGCCAGGAGATTCTTCCAGGTCTTCTACATAGGTGTGAGGGCCCAAGGACTCAGGCCATCTTCTACTGCTTTCCCAGGCCATTAACAGATAGATTTATTGGAAGAGGAGCAGCAGGACTTGAACCGGTCCCATATGGGATGCTGGCAGTACAGGCTGGGGCTTTAAACCATTGCACCACAGCACAGGACCCTCATTGAAATTTTAAGGGAGGACTATTATGTTGCTATTCAATAACCCATATCTTACATTATTTCTGTAAAGGAATGTTTAAATTGGTTACCATTATTTAAAAGTTGAAAGTCATCCTATCAACACTTGATCATCAGCATTTGATAACACTATTGCTGAGGCTGTAGGTCCAAAAGCTGAATTTCAAAAGCTATACCCTTAGGGACATTTTTTTCCCAAAGAATGGAATAATTAGCTCCTAAGAAATGGCACAGCTACACAATGTCAGTGTAATTAAGCGTGCTGCTGCCAAAGTCAGACAAGCCTACATTTATGTCATTCTGCCTGATGCCAAAGCCAATATATTTTTTGCTTATTATTTTATAATCACCACTTAGAGGAAGTTCAAGGAAGCTTCATGAATTCCAGGAAAACCATAAAATAAGACCAGCTACTATCCTGGCCATGCTTCAATATTAAAACATAGTCATTTAGTCAACCCCTACCACTTGTCTTTTGTAGCAATGTGCCAATTACATAGGAGTTATTCTGCTCCCTAAAACCATTCGAAGAGAATTTTAAACAACTTTGTCCTGAATCAGCGGCAATGGGTAATAATGTAAATCAACAGTGAAAAGCAAATTTGATTAGAATTTTATATTTTAGGACAAGGCCTAAGTAAATGATGAATTAATTTGACTTATTTTTCCTTGGCTCCTTTTCATCTGCTTTTAACCATCTCTATTGGGGAGTGGGGCAGCTCTTACTTTTGGCTTCACGTGATAATGTTGCCCTCATTACCAATCTTGGTGTTAAGACTTCACTCTCATGGTGACTGGAAGGGGCACAGGGTATTTAACAGAGCTCAGACTTCACCAAGTACAGTGATTCCATCTCCCTGCACACTGATAAGTCTGTGGGTGGAGCTTGACCCAAGAATGCAGCATTGTCAGATAAAATACAAGATTTCCATTAAAATTTGAATTTCAAATAACTAATAACATTGCCAAATATTTCAGGTACACTCATACCAATATAGACTAATACTAAATTTATGTTTGTTACATGTCTGAAAACCAATTTAAAAGTGTCCTTTAGTTTTGTTAGCCAAATCTTGCAAGACTGAAAGTAGAACCAGAGCCCTCTTTTGCTTCTTGTTCTAATGAACATTAAGAGAAAGAATTTCTATTGTGGAGGTTAGAGCACAATGAGATGGAAATGCATATGGTAGTCATTTTCCCTGATGAATGAATGGAAAGATTCTCCTGAAAAAAGTAAGCCAGGGGAAAACATATACTCGAGATGGTGGAAGCATTAAAGTCTTCTGAATTCCAGCTCCTAGCCCCAGGCCCAGGTTCAGCAGCTCTCCTTTTTGATCTTATGCACACTTCTCAGTATCCTTCCAAGCTATGTGAACAATGTGTTACTCTTTCCCTTAATGACAGGTGTGAGTTGAACACCAGCGCCTTCACTCTGTGTTTTTCACACTCTGTGCTTCCCCTGCTATTCTCCAGCTCTCTCCCCAGATGCTCTCTATGGACTCAGTTTACCCTTCACAATGTAACACACACTCAGACCTCCTCTTCCCATCGGAGCAGCCACACACTACCTGGCACACTGTTTTCCCCTAAAAGGATCTGAAACGCATTTTTGAAGAAATCAGTGGACTGAGACCCAGGAAATAAGGTGTCAGAGCAACATCTTCTTTTTAAAGAGAGATCTGTGAAGCAGAGTTAATAGTAAGACAGGGCTGTCAATAACAATTCCTCATATTTTAGCTCGAAACTGTTTTTATTCTTCTTCCCAGTGTGAGGGTAGAGGAACACAATTTCCTTCTTCTGATTGGTAGAAACATGTTGTTGCTTTTCTCATCTCAAGGAGAAATAATTATTTCAAAATCCTCAGTTTTTGATGCCTTTATTATCTTGCTACATCACTCTCTACCGTTTGCCAGTGGCTCATATTAGAAGCCATCTTTTAAGAGGCAAGACCATCCCAAAGAATGAACATATGGAACTGTACTCACTAGTGGGCAGTTGATCCCCTGTTAACACCATAAAGGCCTTTGTGGACCAAATCTTTCATGAATTAAAGGAGGAACTGGAACACTTTTAATTTATGGTATATGTGAGGAGGTCTTTGAAAAGTTCCTTTAATGTGTATATCATGAATAGAAAAGCTATGAGTGGATTTCAAAATTCCTTTTTGCACTCATACAAACATTTTAATTCCATCTTCCAGGAGCTTGTTTAAGTATGCTAAGAAAAATTGTTGTTCTCTACAAAAAAAACTATTCTTTATTCCTTCAAAAAATGTGGAGTTGAAGTTGTTCAAAATATAGATAATGACAACAAAAGCTTGGAGAGACAAAAAGGACAATAAAGTAGGTACTTTTTACTTCATTGCTATGTCAAGTAAAGTTATTTTTTTTAAAGATTTATTTATTTGAAAGGCTGAGTGGTAGAGTGTCAAAAAGAATGAAAAGAGAGAGAGAGAGAGAGAGAGAGACAGAGAGAGACAGAGAGAGAGAGAGAGAGAGAAAGAGAGAAACTTCCATACCCTGGCTCACTGTTCAAGTGGCTCTAATAGATAGGGCTGGGCCAAGCAGAAGCCAAGAGCCAGGAACTCCATTCTGGTCTCCCACGTAGCAGCCAGGACACAACAACTTGGGTCATCTTGGGTTGCTATCCAAGCCCATTAGCAGGAAACTAAATAGGAACCAATGAGGTCAGGACTTGAACCAGTATTCTGATATATACCAGTGTTGCAAGTGGCAGCTTAAACCACTGCAGTACAACACTGGCATCTATATGAAGTACTTTTAAAAGACAAAGTAAAATTGTCAATAGGTTTCAAAAAATAAATCATACAAAAATTGTAATGTACATAAGTAGAATTGACATTTGGAGATTTGATTATTATTCACAGCCTTTGTCAATACTCTTGAGGAACAGTGGTTTTTCTAGTTACCATTTGTTGAATTCTTTATTTTGTGGAGGGTTAAGCTTGTGACTATAAAGTACATTGAAAATATGTCATTGCAAAAATGGAATAAAAAGTAAGGAAGGAAGGAGGTGGGAAGCTGGGAGTGAGTGAGGGACAAAGGGTAGGGTGGGAAGTATCATTATGCTCCTAAAACTGAATATAAAAAGTACATGAAATTTGTTTCTTTTATATAAATAAATATATAATAAAAGGTAAAATTGAAAAAATGAATTTGGAAATAAGGAGAGTAAAAAAGTGAAGATGGTTGAGAAAAAAGCAAGCAAAAACTGCACACCTTCTTCCAGGTTGTTAGCACCTGTTGGATTAATTGCTTAACTAAATCTCTCCCTAAATATGGAGGTGCTCACTGACAGCTTTAGCATAAGGAGTTTCCCACTTCTGTATATGTCAAGTCAATTGGTTTTAGATTCATGACATTAGTCGCAAGCATATAAATATAGCATATTATCTGGCCATAGGTTCTGATGAGACTCAGTTTGTAATCTTTGCTATCTCTTCCTAGAAAACTTGGGAAACACAACAGGATATATTACAGTCAAGTGTAAGGCCCAATATCAAGCATCCTAGTGGTAGGCGTTTGACCGTGTAGTTAAGGTGCTGCTTAGGATATCCACACTCCGTATCAGAATAGCTGAGTTTGACTCCGAGCTTCTGTCTCCGGCTTTCTGATAATCTGCCACATGGGAAGCAGAAGTGATGATTATAGTAGTTGAGTTCCTTGCCATCCTGTTCCAAGTTCACCCATGGAAGAACTTGATTGAATTTCTGGTTCCCATCTTTGTCTTCTGGCCAATTATGAGCATTTGGGGAATGAACAAGTGGATTTAAACTCTTCAATATGGCTAACCCACTCAGTTAAGTATGAGTCTGAAACAAAGGCACAGATCAAGAGCTTCATCTCAGACAGAACTGCTCTGAAACACTCTGATGCAGACTTAAATCATGTGAAATAAATAACTGTTCTTAACTCATATGGGGTCCAGAAGCCACCACTTGGCTATTAAAGACAAATTGGTCTCTATAGCTTGTCTTGAGTAGAATCTAACACAAACCAACTTTTTTTTTAAAAAAAATTATTTATTTATTGAAGAGACAGTCACAGTGAGAGAGAGGGAAGATGGAGAGAGAGATCTTCCATCCACTGGTACACACCTCAAATGGCCATAAAAGCTGGAGCTGGGCCATATGTAGCCAGGAGCTAGGAGCTTCTTCCAGGTCTCCCATGTGTGTGCAGGGGCCCAAAAACTTGGGCCATCTTCCACTGCTCTTTCAGACCATAGCAGAGAGCTGGATTGAAATTGGAGCAGCTGGAACTTGAACTGGTGCCCATATGGGATGCTTAACCTAATATGCAACAGCACCGGCCCCAAACCAACCTTCTTTGTTTAACTACATATCTCTATTTTGAATAAGAATATTGTGGTTAAAGTAGAGGCAGGAGGAAGGGGTTAAAGGTGAAAAGAGTAGAGCAAGAAATGGGTAGGTAAGGGTAAGCAGTATTTGCTAAATGCTTTCCAGTTGGGTGAAATACCAATTTAACTATTATGTAGTCTTTGTTACTTCTTACTGATATACAATGTTAAAGACTTCAAAGAGAATCTATATACAAATTCACAAGATTTTCTACAAGAATATCCCTATGAAGTAAAGCATATGAGACAAAAGTGAGTCTCCAGGGATTAAGCAACAACATCAAAATCACTCAAATAACAACTAGCACAGACTAGAAAGTTTTCCAGCAAGAGTATCTTGTGTGATCTTCTCCATGAGCCACATTGATATGGAGACTTGTGATATGGACTTCTGTTTACTGCCATGCAAAGAAAGAACAGAACGGAATTTGGTTTGAGCCTGGTCCAAATGCCATACTCTAACAGGACAAAAATAGCATCAATTATGCAGATGATTGGGGAAGACACCAGGACCTTAGAAATGGTGTTGTTATCAACGACTACATAAAGTAAGCTTCAAGGAGCTCCGGAGTTATAGAAAACAGAAGGGGAGATATGGAAATACAAATATTCTCAATAGCAGTTAAGGTAAATGGCATTGCTCTTGGCACTGCCTATGAACTCTATCTGATGGGAGAGAATAGTAAACCTGCAGATGACACTGTTACATCAGTTCTTCAGATCCATATTTTTATTATCTTTTTTAACTTTTATTTAATGAATATAAATTTCCAAAGTACAGCTTATGGATTACAATGGCTTCCCCCCCATAACGTCCCTCACACCCGCAACCCTCCCCTTTCCCACTCCCTCTCCCCTTCCATTCACATCAAGATTCATTTTTGATTTTCTTTATATACAGAAGATCAGTTTAGCATACATTAAGTAAAGATTTCAACAGTTTGCACCCACATAGAAACACAAAGTGAAAAATACTGTTTGAGTACTAGTTATAGCATTAAATCTCAATGTACAGCACACTAAGGACAAAGATCCTACATGAGGAGTAAGTGCACAGTGACTCCTGTTGTTGACTTAACAATTTGACACTCTTGTTTATGGCTTCAGTAATCACCCTAGGCTCTTGTCATGAGTTGCCAAGGCTATGGAAGCCCCCTGAGTTCACCGACTCTGATCATATTTAGACAAGGCCATGGTCAAAGTGGAAGTTCTCTCCTCCCTTCAGAGAAAGACACCTCCTTCTTTGATGGCCCGTTCTTTCCACTGGGATCTCACTCACGGAGATCTTTCATTTAGGTTTTTTTTTTTCCCCAGAGTGTCTTGGCTTTCCATGCCTGAAATAAAACAACTATAAATTTCCAAAGTACAGCTTTTGGATTACAGTGGCTTTTTCCCTCCCAGAACTTTCCTCCCACCTGCAACCCTCCCCTTTCCCACTCCCTCTCCCCTTCCATTCACATCAAGATTCATTTTCAATTATCTTTATATATAGAAGATCGATTTAGTATATATTAAGTAAAGATTTCAACAGTTTGCTCCCACACAGAAACAGAGTGTTAAGTACTGTTTGAGTACTAGTTATAGCATTAATTTACATTGTACAACACATTATGGACAGAGATCCTACATGGGGAGTAAGTAAACAGTGACTCCTGTTGTTGACTTAACAATTGACACTCTTGTTTATGGCATCAGTAATCACCCTAGGCTCTAGTCACGAGTTGCCAAGGCTTTGGAAGTCTTTTGAGTTCGCCAACTCTGATCTTATTTAGACAAGGTCATAGTCAAAGTAGAAGTTCTGTCCTCCCTTCAGAGAAAGGTACCTCCTTCTTTGATGGCCCCGTTCTTTCTACTGGGATCTCACTTGCAGAGATCTTTCATTTCATTTTTTTTCCAGAGTGTCTTGGCTTTCCATGCCTAAAATACTCTCATGGGCTCTTCAGCCAGATCCGAATGCCTTAAGGGCTGATTCTGAAGCCAGAGCGCTGTTTAGGACATCTGCCATTCTATGAGTCTGCTGTGTATCCTGCTTCCCATGTTGCAGATCCATATTTTAATATTGGGGATGGCTCTGAACAAGGTGACTCTTGTGGTTTCCTTGATTTAGGTTCTGTAATATATTCACTTATATTTTCTATTGCAGATATGCCTAAACCTAATTAATGACTAAAACTTTGAAAGTGTTCATATTATTAACTCATAAAATTGTATATTAATCACTCAATTTGGATACATATATTCTTGGCAAGATTATAGGAACAAGTTTCTTAGAAACTAGTTTTAATTGGGATTGTTTAAAGGAACTTTGTAGGATTACATTATCTTACACATAAGGAGACAGTTGCTTTATCTTGTGGTTTTACTGATGTGTTTTCCTATGGATTGGTGCCAATGATACTGGACAATGAGATGTATATAGAAGTCTATCAATATCCCCTTACTCTTCCTATTTCCTGCTTTGAATTAAAACAGGCATGCTGGAACTAGGACAAAAAGGGCAAAATATCTTTCATTTAATTTTAACATGGCTAAGTTACTGAGCTAATGAAATCAACTTCTTACTCTCATATATTTTGTGATAAAGCTCCATTTATTGTTTAAATTATTCCTAGTTGAGTCATTTTTTTAGTTAAAAAATTTATTCTGGGGCTGATGCTGTGGCTCAGTGGGTTAAAGCCGCAGCATGCAGCACCAGCATTCTATATGGGCATTGGATTCAGTCCTGGCTATTCCACCTCCTACCCATCTTCCTGCTAATGTGCCACAGAAAGCAGCAGAGGATGGCCCAAGTGCTTGGGTCCCCTGCACCCATGTGGGAGATCCGGAAGAAGCTCCTGGCTCCTGGCTTCGGCATGGCTCAGGCCGTTGCAGCCATTTAGGGAGTGAACCAGTAGATAGAAGCACTTTCCTTTCTCTCTCTTGTGTATCTCCATCTCTTGCTGTAGTTCTGCCTTTCATTTTAATA